ACACACACACACACACACACACACACACACATATATATATATATATTACTAACACACACACATATATATATATACATAATTTATATATATATATATATACATATATAAATGAACTCACACATACACGTGTCCATACATATCCACATTGATATATATATGTGTGTATACTGCACATACCCAATCACCAATCCTACTGTAGTGCTCTGCTATTGCCAGGTTGGCTTCTCTGATTTCCGTCTCGCCGAGATTCTCTACGGCGTCTTCTAGTGTAAGTTGTAATTTCTTCACATTCGCTTCGTTGTCCTCCTGATACTCCTTCAAGACCTTTGTATCTACTTCCCATCCTAATTGCGCACCCACACTCTCATAGAAAGGTGCCATTTTACTCTCCTTTATATCGGTCATAATCGAGTCTTTGTTCTTCTGTATTTCATCAGAAGTTAAGTTTAATGTCGATGCATTTTGAAGCTCGAATACACACTGTGCTAAGTACATCTTAGGGATCTTCTCCGCTCCCTCATCCTCTACCGGCGCTCCAGACATCATCTTTGCGTTAGACTATACGGATATATCAGATACGGACGCCTTAGATGCGTATATATGTATATATTTATCAAAATATATATACTATAGACTACAAACGACACAGTATTGCCTACAAATATATGCTCTCTGTACGTATATATAATCAGTTACATCTTATATTTATTTATGTATTATTTACATGATGATGGTGTCACTGTTTTGAGTCTCCGTTGGGTGTCACCGTCAGGCATCAGCTTTGTCGCCTGTCGGTGTTTGTTTACGAAGAATTGTATGGCGTTGCACCGTATGACTTCTCATTCGAAATCAAAATCCCGTACCGGTACATACCGGTATTAACCCAATCTGGGTTTCAGGGTTCTAGGGTCTCATCACATAAACAACGATTATAAAATAAATATTGCACAACGATCAGGTATGTAATTAAATACTTGTACACAGTTACACACACATGCAACCCCGCAAGAAGATGACGATCAAGAGAGTGTGGCACGGCTATACTACCACCGAGAACGCCGACGCATATCAGACTCTATTGATATGTGAAGTTTTACCGAGAATTAAAGCCAAAAACATACCAGGACTCACAAACATCGAAGTAATGCGGTACAAACACGAAGAAACGAACACAAACGGCAAGATAGGAGAGACAGGAGAAGTCGAGTATGTAGTTACGATCACATATGAAACACTTGCGCATGTGGTGACCTTCGCGGGTATGGACTACGAGAAGGCATATCTGCCAGAGAAAGCGCGGACGTTGCTAGCGCGATACGATGACAGATGCATGCACTACGAGGTTGTTGACGTCGTGACATAGTCGCAGCACAGTGAGTACTACCCTTTGTTGCGACATTTGGAGTGGGATGTGTGTTCTTATTATTACAGTTGTAGAGGTTAGAGGAGGTTAGAGGCAAGGTCTGCTCTGTAGACGCCGTGTCAGGACTGTAGGCCCAGCTGCGGCTCTTTATTGCAATGTTAGAAGTAGGCTTTACAGCGTATGGCTGAGTCAGGAGTGACGTTGAGCTTCAGTGGGTCACTTCTGCATTACTATATACTGCTGATAACATGTAGCTGTTCACGTCTGGATTGTGGTTGCTGCCGTGTTTACTGTTGCGTATGGGTCGGTTGACATATTTTCCAGGTGTGCACTGACGCCTCGCTTTCACTGTACTATCATGCACCGCTGATGCCATGTAGCTGTTCACGTCTGGGTCGTTGTTGTAGTCGTGTTGACCTCTGATTATGCGAAGGCGAAGGCTGTCGTATGATGAATTGACAAACCGAAAGTTACATTTTAGGCCCGCCCGATGAATCCGTTCAATCATCATATCTGAATCCTCTCGACTACATGCCGACCCTGTGAGAAGTGCACGTGCGCCTGGGGTACGTTTGTGAATGTTCGGTATTTTCAGTGACCCTTCCATGTCACGGTACTATGGCTGACTACATTTGCGGATAGATTGTATATTCGTAGATACCTGCATTATACCCGAATGTGCATACAATTGTGGATCTGTAGTCTAAAGCTGACTGTGTATGTCTACCTTAGTATACTTACCTACATTATACCCCAATCCATGAGCTGACGACAATGTATTATGTATGTCTACCTATAGTATCTATATTATACCTCAATCCACGAGCTGACGACAATGTAATATGTATGTCTACCCTTGATATACTTACCTACATTATACCCCTATCCACACGTGTCAATAAATCCATCACCTAAAGGCTAAAGCCCAATGATTGTGCCATTTCCCTTTGAGATGTCTCTTATTAAAACCGGGAGGCGACAATACTTCGACTAACACTGATCCTAAATCCTATACCAGACCGTATATTTATACCTATACTACTACCTAAATATCAATCAGTCGATAGTACTACACTTGACTATATCCACTATATAAAGCCAGTAAACAGACACAGCACAACCTCACCAAACGCCACCCGAAGGTGTGCATAAATTGGCGTAGAGTTTGAACACAAAGACGTTTAAAGTACCGAGCATAGAACACCTGCGTAAGTACAGTCCCATATTTATTCGCTCGTACGTATCAGTCTTTACCTCGCAATACGCGATACTACTAAGTTCTTCAGCCGCTGCATTTCGGTCAAATATGTTTACCATCAAGGCTTCATTTATCCCTCGCATTTACGGAATTCGTCCGACGTCGCACAACCTATCGATTTTACGTATTTATCTTCTCGATAATCGGAACTCGCGACAAGATCACGTTCTCTTATCAGTTCGCGATGTTAAGCGTATATGCCTGCCTGACCTCGTCCCCATATTATACAGCTATGTGTACATATGTATATATATATATATATATGTATATATATATATTCACATATGTATACATACATGTATATTAAAATATACTCCTCACTCACAAATCCCCATAGTCCCCGGTGTCTTCGTACTTGGCCTTTCGGTCTGATCCCCTCTGTTTGTCTCTGCCTTTGACATACGGACTCTTTTTATGTAGGGAACTCTCGTACTTTGCTTTCTGCAGTGCAAAATGCAAATCCGCCAGAGATTCAATCAATGGTCAATGCCCGATGGTATATATAACAAACACACAAACACACACACACATTATTTATATATATATATATATATATGTGTGTGTGAATATATATATATATGTGTGTGTGAATATATATATATAAATATAAATATTATAATAATATAACCAATGTTGATATATAATATATATTTATATATATATATCATTCTTTTATATTAAAGGACAAATGCGCTGACACAGACACAGACACAGACTCATACACGGAAACGGACACAGACACGCGCAAAAGGGTTGAGTGAAATACGCACATACACATACATACATAAGTGGTGAATAAATACGTGGCACTTACTCGATCCCTTTGGGCTTCGGCCGCTAGCTGTTTCTGTTCGTCCTTGCTGAGATTGATTGATCCCGTGAGTCCGAATATACTTCGCAAGCACACGTTTACCTACCACACAAAGCAGTGTGAAGGGTAAGTCAACATCATATATTTGTAAACATAAATCTATCTGTACGTACGAACACAAAGCTATCTGTACGTCCGAACATGAGCTATCTGTACGTACGAACATAAAGCTATCTGTACGTACGATAGCAAGGAGAGATAAGAGGACTATTCAACATTCACAGAAGCAGCCGTGCCCCACAGTATGCATAGCTTTTGACTAATTTGTCAAGGTGGAGTGAATAGTTGCCGGTGCCCGGTTTATTTATGGGTGTAGTTTATTCGCGTATGCAAGCACACCCAACATACAACCTAGTGCGGGCACTATGCCAAACGCAAACGCATACGTATACATATTAAGTGTTGCGTTTGGACACAGACAAACAATCACGCACCACATAACATGGGCCATGTTTGACAATAGGGTTATCTCTACTAAACATGTGAGGATGTACCTACATCTAATACATAACATGGCCATACATGTGAGGATGTACCTGCATCTAATACATAACATGGCCATGTATGACAATAGGGATATCTCTACTATACATGTGAGGATGTATCTGCATCTAATACATAACATGGCCATGTATGACATTAGGGTTATCTCTACTATACATGTGAGGATGTACCTGCATCTAATACATAACATGGCCATGTATGCCAATAGGGGTATCTCTATTATATATGTGGGGATGTACCTGCATCTAATACATAACATGGCCATGTTTGACAACAGGGTTATCTCTACTATACATGTGAGGATGTACCTGCATCTAATACATAACATGGCCATGTATGACAATAGGGGTATCTCTACTATACACATGGGGATGTACCTGCATCTGGTACTGTAGACCTGACCCCACCACTTGTTTGATGGTGTCCATCTCCCTCTTCTCAGCCCATGTGTCCATGCGCACCTCGTCGTGCGGCAGTCTGCATAGCAATGATTCTCATTGGTCAGACAATAATTCTCCTTGGTTGGACGATAATTTTGCCTTGCATTCAATTTGATCTAGAGATACATCACTAGATTAGTAAAGGATCAATACTGTCTGGTTGTGAGCCAGACGGGGTGAATAGCAATTGATACTATATCAGACATAGTTTAACACATTATACATATATATATAAGAATATACATATATATATATCTTTATATACATACATATATAGGTGATATATATATACATAAATAAGTGATATATATATATTTATACATATACACGCATAGAAACATCCACCACAGCTATACCAGTGGTATATAGTATACCTGACTATGGCCAGGGGCGTCTCATCGGGATCCTTGATATACGCGAGGACTTCCTTGATTGTCGATCGTTGCTTGACGCGATCTGAACGCGAGTTGCTCTTGGTTTCATACTCCTGTGCTAAACCGTCCAACCTAAAATCAGGATGTATTGGGTTCAGAAATCAGCGCATACTACAATTTTATATAGCCCAGAAGTGACATTTTGGACTCAGAAAACCTGACCCTTGTACACCTACGGCTGGGAGGGATGTGTGTGTGGGGTATGGGATTCGTTGTGTATGAAACATACTAAAATCCCTCTATGTAAGAACCAAAGGGGGCGGGACAATCGTGATTGTGAATTAAAAACTGTATGCCCTTTTGTAGATGTACATATGCGTATGAAATCTAGCACGTAGATTGTAGTATCACAGCCAAAACTACATGGAATAACAAACACACACGCAAATACGCATGCAGCCATAAACACTAAAACAGACACAAACATAGACACAGACTCAATACATCCATATAAACAAATGAACAAAACACATACATAAGCACACACACACACACAAACACGCATGCAGCCATAAACACAAACATGCGAGAGAACACAACACTCGGCGTACTTGCGGTATATTTCGTCCAGTTCCTCTTGGCTGTTGGTATCGAATTCTTCATCACTCTCACGAGCCTCTTCCAGCCACAGCGCAAACACCTCCGCGGCAGCTGGGGAGTGCCACAGATGAATAAGATATAGATTCAATACAGATTTGAGTAAAACGTATAAGAATAAACATTTCCGCGGCAGCTGGGGTGTGCCACAGATGTATACGATAAAAATCAATACGTATTTGCGTAAAAAATATGGGAATAGTATGACTCAACTCTGGCAGGACACCGAATGTAACAAGTCAAACACAGCAGCTTTGGGTGTTCCCATATGTGATTGATGCCAAAGCCAGCAGGAGGTTGCATGCAACATTGAGAATATACATATGTGTGCACATACATCACCCTTATTCTCACACTGACATACATATCCTCGATTCCATACTGGTAACCACAAACCACACTCTAGGTATACACACACGACACCCATATCCTCAGTCACACAGACATATATATCCTCAGCACAATGTCACGACTTAAAGAAACCACAAAAAACACTCAGGTGTATACACACAACACAACACCCTCACTCACACAGACATACATATCCTCAGCTCAATGTTACGACTGAAGAGAAACTCTTCGAAATCGGTGAGTTTCTCATAGAACAGGGCCTCGGCCGTTTCATCAGACACACAGGTCAGCAACAGACCCCACGCATCCAAGGCTGCAGTGCACAGTTTAGTAGAAGACTCCTGCTCACTCTCAGCCGTCTCTAGTAGGGCCTGTGAATGGGGTGTATGTGTGGATGTGGGAGTATATGAATGAGGTATGTGTATGCGGGTATATATGAATGGGAATGTGGGAGTATATGAATAAGATATATGTGTATATGTGTGTTTATATGCGTGTGTGAGGGTTTGCATAGGGCGGAAAGAATATATGGTACATGCATATACAACTGCGTAGAGGACTCCTGCTCACGCTTAGCCGTCTCTAATAGAGCCTAAGTAAAGCATACGTCTGTGAACACACATATGTGCAAGCGTAAATACGAGGGCAGGGGCGTGTATATCGGTTTCGTATGGATATATGTGTG